GATGAATGTAAGGGACATGAAAATGGCGGTCGTCACCATCTCCTTGTTTCTGCTGCTGTGCGCCCGGTTCGCCTTGATGGGCCACAAAATCGTCTTCGTCTGGTACGTTCCTACCAGGAGTACTGGACCACCGGTAAACCAGCGCTGCCGTGATGGCCGATGAGATGGCCACCAATGCAATCTTCTCGCTTTGGCTGACGTTAGTCATGGTGATACAGATCTCAACCAAAGAGATTGTATGTTGTGTTTTTGTTGCACTTTTCTCAAAATTGGCTGACTTGAAGCAAGCTCACTTTTGCTTCTTTGTGGCCCTCTAGCTAGCATTAATAACTACGGCACGTTCCACCACCAGCTAGCTACATGTAGTTGGCTTGCTAGCTAGTAAGATTTCAAAGGACTTTGTTGGCCTGTTGGGTCTTCATTGGACTCTTTCAGAACCGAAGCGAGCGCGGATGGGAAGGAAGAGGGAGGAATAATAATAAAAAGATAATGTACATAGGAAAGTAATACTAGTAAAAATAATTTAAAATGGTGCCTTCCGTCTCTGCTGGTACTAGCTAGTAGGTACGGTATCATACGATTTTAGCAAAAAGTGACTGAATTGATTAGGTTTTAATCAGCACAAACTGCCGAATCGCTAAAACACGAGCTTTCACTCGGTGGTAACTTTTCGGTTGTTTGACTTTTTCATCCCCCTTGGGAATCATCAGTGCTTGGGCTATTGTGGTACTTATGAAATCGAGGTTTATGTCGGCATGCTCCGTATATTTCGTTGCAGGAGTCTTTTCCGGCGATTCTCTGGATCGTTTCAGTATCTCGAGTCGCTCCCTGTTGCATAGGCTGCAGTGTCGTGTCCCGAAGGTCTTGACAGTGCTGATGGGGTTGCCTTGCCATAGCGAGCGCCGACAAGCGGCGCTCGCCTAGAGCAGCACTGCACGACTAGTTGAGTAGTGTAGGGTGGTGGAGAGACTCGGCCATTTACTGAGCCGACCGTCTCCGCGACCCAGGGGTGCCGCTCGTGATTGCTAGAGTCGCGAGCGGGAACCAAGGCACGAATGAGGCAGTCCCGCGGGATGTGAGTCCCGCGTGATTGTGCGACATTCGGCCAACCCAGGGAGGGAGAGGTGGGTTAATCTATTCTAGTTCTTGCTTGCAGCTCGGCTGAAGGAA